CACAAGAGCACTGCTATGACCAGTGAATTCATTAGTGAAAACAAGATGCAAGACCCTGAAGAGAAATGGCCAAACAAGTACCTAAAGCATGCAAGACCTGCCTCGGATGTCATCTGCGCTACAGCCTCCCATGTCTGCACTAGACTGCCTCTTCGCCCATGCTGCAGAGCTCTCTGGAAGGGGAACCCCACCATGCTCAGCTTCCCAAGGGGGTGTCCAAACATGCTTTCTGGATACCTACTCCCAGGGGAGGCTGAGGACACAGCAGTTCAGGTCTCATCAGCGCAATGCAGGACCATCCAAGCCTGTGCAAGCTGGAAGCATTGAGAGAAAGCATGCATGTCGTGGGGCTCGACATGTGCATAAACCCCTCAAGGGCCTTCTCTTCACGTTGCAGAAGAGATGTGGCCAGGAGCTGCTTGGGAACGTTGAGAAGAGGGGTTAGATGGAACAGGACATGGCTTAGGATCCACATTCTGTCTCTATACTTTCATGCTTACATCCAAGGGATGAGTTTCACAGGAGCATCCAGCAATTTGCAGGGGAAAAAAAGAAGGAAGGTTTAGCTTGAAAGCACTACATTTCCTTTCTTCTTTCACTCCCCAGAACATTCTATTTATTACATTTTCAGAGACTGTTTCAGATGCTGCTAGGAAAAAAAAAGGGTTTTAAGAGCGAGCTCAGATGTATTCTTTTATGCGACACATATGAATAATTCAATTTGCTGCCATCAATAGCTTGGGTTTCTCTAAATAAGCCATCTATCTAGGGGTTAGGAGGAAAACTAGCAGGAGTGTAATATGACAAATAATGTTTCTGGATAAAAGATGGCACTGCATTTACACATGAACTCTAACAAGAGGGTATTCCATCTAGCAACTCATGCAATATTTCACTGCCACCACATTTGACAAGTTGTCTGTCCATTAGTTGTGGCGTAAAGAACTCATAAGATATTTATAAGCGTTCCAGAGATACCTAATAGGGAATCATTTGACTTCAGGGATGGGCACTGAAGAGAGAAGTTTAAAGCTTCGACAGAATGCGCAGCCTTCTGCTTTCTGGTAATTGCTGGAGCAAAGTGGGGCTGTATATGCTGATGAGAGCTGTTTCAGAAATGTTTTTCCGTCCAGACAATTATGATTTTCGTAGGCAGTCTGAATAACATTACACCAGGACTTGAGAAACACTGCTAGTTAAAAAAAAAAAAAAAAAAAAAAAGTTAAACATGGCCGTGTTGTTGCAGCGATGTGCAGGACCCCTGCTTAGGATGTCTCCTGCTTCTCTGCTACATCTCCCAGGTTCTGCAGAGTCCCCGGGCTTGGGGAGGGAAGAAGGTGCCTCCTTCTAGGCAACTTGTCAGAGACACTGCTGAGCTGGATAGACCCATCCTGAAGGGGATGACAGGTAACAGAGCAGCAACCCCTGCAGCCTGGCTGGGTCAGCTCTTCAAACCAAAACCAAATCACTGTCAGTCAAAATAGCTGTCTTTTTTCAGAAACTTTCTCCGTGGTGAAGTTTTCTGCAAGAGAACAACAACCTTTCTGGTTATCAAGAGCCCAACTCTCTTCAAAAACGAAACCCTGGCAGAAACACACTGACTAGCAGTAAAGCTATTTTCTGCATACGTCCACGGACTCCTGCAAGTATTGCATGGAGGGGATCACTACAAAGGGACGAGTTAGATTTTTCTGCATTTCTAAGAAACTAAATACCCAGTCCTGAAAACTCCTAGGCAGGCACTCTGCAATAAGACAGGCAGTGCCAGAGAGACGTGGGGGAAGACAAACGACTCGCAACCCCAGGGTTGTTCTGTCTCCCAGAAGGCATTTTACTGAGATGCTGCAGTTGGGAATCCACTTGCCTTGCCCTGACATGTGGAGAAAAGTGGTAGCCCTCAGTTTTCAAGAGACAACGGCTTTTCTGCGCAAAGCTCCCCTCTTTGCTAATGTTTGCAAAAAGGGGCTATTTTTAGAGTTTTCTCCCAGAAATAAGTGCCAAAGCAGATATGTTACAACAAAAAACCTTTACAAGAACTGAGCCCTGATCTGCTGTTATACTATGCAGCTCCCATCCCTCAATGAGCTGTGGCATGACAGTCAATGTGGCAAGATACTCACCAACGTGCTGTGCATCCTCAATGGCAGAATCGAATCCTTCAAGGCTCTCACAGTGGGGAAGCAAAACCTTGCACCTCTGCTGTATCACCCTCTCTCATTGTCCTCCTTTTAACTTCTGCTCCCAGTCCTGGTACTAACCCTTTCCACCCCACTTCAAGTCTATTAGTAATTTTAAAAAGCATTTGCTTCTTGTTAGTAACTGGTGGGAAAAAAAGCTTTCTAGTGGGCCAGACTCGTGCTGTGTGATTCAAGTGCTGTTTTTCTCATTTGGACAGATAGGCAAATTTTTATGTAGTTAACAATCTGGCATGGTTCATTCCCCTGCTCAGTGACTGCTGTCCTCAAATACTTTTCTTCCATTCCTGGAGTCTCAACATATGAAGCTACGTCTCTAATGAACCTCTGTATTAGCCAAGCCCAGGAGGCCCTCATGCATCTGGCCACATAGATACAGCACCTGTCCACATGGGAACCAGAAAAGCACAACACAGCAGTCACATTTTTTGCTGGTCTTGTGCTGTCAAATGCATCTCTCCTCTCCTTCCCAACTTTCTGCATGACCGGCTGCATCCGCAGAATTTGGATCTTCCTGGGATGGAAGTTACTCCCCATACTGAGACCCCTTGTGCTGAGTGCAGCTGCTCAGCAGGTTGGTCATTCAGGTCTGGTTCATGGAGAAGTGTGAAAATCACAGCGCTGCACTGGGTTGGCCAAGTAGCACAGCGATAGAGACTGATACTGGGCTAGAAGCAGAGGCTTCTAGCAATTCTAGCAATGCACATGTTTCAGTCAGGCAGGTCCTTCCCCAGACCTTGCCTCATTTTCTCCTCCCTTGCTCCATTCCCCTGGTGGAGGAGAAACCCCGACACCGAAGAGAGGAAGACGCATGGGTGTGCACTTCATGAATGTTGTCCTCTTCTGAGCACTTTGTATGTGTAGGTCAGGATGGCTGTCCGTACACCTCTCTGTTTATTAGCACAGTAACATCCTGCAGGGTTAAGTGAGGCTGGGAATCCGCGGTGCCAGATGCAGTACACCCATTTAAGAAGGGACGCGTATGACCTCAGGAGCCTACAGTCCAGAGAAATAGGTCAGAAAGAAGGAGGAGCCAGGAAAAATGATGCACACACTGTCACAGCATGGTACCAAAATTTGCAAAGGCTCTCTCCTTTCTCCCCTTGAGATCTGGGGAGAGGAAGGATGAAGTCACTTTCCTCAGACCTTGTTTTACAGGTGGTTTTCTAGAACAAACGTTCTCTATGAAAAGCTGATCAAGCTCCTACAGTGCCACTTTGAAGAGAGACACAGATTGAGGCCCCGAGATTGCAAAGGTACCTTAAAAATCCCACCAAGAAAAGGGAAAAGATTTTTGGTATAAAACATTTTTCCTTGTCCTGCTTATTTTCCCAGCCTTTTTTAGCCTATTCTCCAACAGTTGGCTAAAGAAGGTCTTGCTGGATTTGGATTGACAAGAGGGAGACATTTTTTTTTTTTGCTGCCTAAATGTCAGGCCAGATATGTCAATAACACCATTAGGCAATTACATGCCTGCTGCAGTCACCTGCATCACTACTGCATGAGAGAAACTAGGGCAAAAAGGCAGCAACTAGGGATTTTGTTTTGATTAAGAAAACAAGACTTCCCACAGCCAATTTTGAAATGCTGTAGAAGGGTGTGATTTGAGCTAACACCCTCACATGCCTCAGAGAGAAACTTTTTGTCTCCCTGCGGAGGCATTGAATACTGCGTTACTGGCACACACTGGGAAAAACACCTCTCTTTTTTCCTACTTTATCAATACAGAGAGAAAAGAGAATAAAAGAGAAGTCAGGCTCTTGTTGGGTTGCCCCTGTGCTGATCACAGGGTGAGACACTGGTATTACAGGAGGTGAAAATAGAAGTTTTAGGACTTGTTAGGTCTCGGTGGAGAAAACCCCTGCAACAGAGAAACACGAGCAAATAGTCTCTCGATCTCAACTTGGACATTCGAGTTGAAGCTATGGCTTCGCTCCAGACAGCCAAACAGTCTTTGCTAGGTTAGGAGTCTATGACCAATGCTGGAGAAAGTTTTGGGATCAGCAGCATTATGCATACCCTCCATTCGCACACACACTGGCAAACACAAATCTGTGCCGCTCTTGGGCAGCTGGTTTCAGCCAAAACCAAAAAGGTTTTTTAAAGTAAAAAATGCATCATTTAAGAAAGAATGAAGTTGATTTCCATAGTCTGCCCCATTTGGAGAACAAAATGTATCTTACTTTACTGTGAGCAATCAGTGAAGCACGGGAACCTAAAAGAAAACATTGCATTTGGGATCTAATGAAGTGTTTCACTCCATCAGAAAAAAATCTTTTATTTCAGGGACATGGGATTCATTTCAGCTTGAAACCCAAAGACTTCTGATTTTGTGTGCATTCAGAGACAGAAATGTTTTGTGTTTGAGCCAGTATACAAAACAATCTGCTTTATGCCCAGCTCAAGTCAGGAGAAAGTAAGAGATGATGTTGGCCTGCAGAGTAAGACAACCTCCATGTACGTGGATAGATGCTCCTGGCCCTGACCTTACACAGCATTTAAGCCCATGGGTCTTCTTCAGTTTCCGACCAGCCCATTCAGAGGTAGGAGGGAAATGCTGACCTCCATTAGGACCAGTGGGACTTTTGCCATTAGTATCCACAGAGTTGGAACTTTACCCAACAAATAAAGATGAGCGATCGCTCACTGTCCTGGCCAGAGGAGAGTGTGATACAGCTGATCCCATGCAAACCAGCTTCCAAAGCAGCTGATCCCCTGCAGACCAGCTCTTGGAGGCTGTACACTTAACCCCAAATATGCCCTCCTCCCCCCAGCCTTCCCCACATATCCCAAATGACATCTGACCTCTAGCTCCTGGAAGTCCTCCTCTTCCTCCACATCATACGAGAGGGTGTGAATCTTGATGTCATCTGCTGAGAGATCGATGAACTTGCTGTCTGGGTACTCCAGGCTGTCTTTGGTGGGAGAGCGGTCCTCAATGAAGGTAGTTTCACAGCACTCCGAGCCAATGCTCTCACCCCACGAGCGCAGCACGTTCTCTGAGTAGAGGATGATGTTGGGCCGGTAGTGAGACTCCACCGTCTGCTGCAGCATGTTGGGGTCCAGGAGCTGCTGCACAGGGTCATTCCTGCCGTTCTCCAGGCAGCTCGGAGAGGAAAGGCTGCCCGCTCGGTGGCTCTGATACTGGGGGGTTGGGTACACAGAGACCAGACCATCTCGGCTCTCTGCCACTAAGTTCCTTGTATTAATTAAACCATTCCTTTTCCCAGCTTCAGCAATCTTATTGTGCATTAGCACGCTGTTCTGCTCAACCAAGCCATCCATACTGGGAGGTGTCTGAGGGAGTGGGATGGGTGGTCTTTATTTTGTTGTACCTTAGAGACAGGTCACACTGGGGCAGTGGCTCCCATTTTCCTGATGAAGAAAGGGAACAGATACCAAGGTGAGGACAAAGGCAATGAATAACATATCAAGGCACCCAAATCAGCTTGTCTTCGGTATCACCTCATGAGGAAATACAGCCCCACATATGCACACACCCTGCCCTAGCTCTCCAAATATATCCCACTTGGAGAGGCAAAAAACTCCACCCCAAGTCCATGGGGTGAACAGGAGCAGATGACAATGTGTGGTGACAGAGGACTTCCCGAGATGTCTTGGTAATGGTGGGCCCTGTCAGAGAAGGGCTATGATGCCTCCTCCATCCTCCCACCGGTACGCCACTGTCCTTCCGGGGACAATGTCCCTTTCCTCTAAACACACTCTGATAAGAGAGATGGGGGGGAAAAAACAAAGATAAAAGATAAAAGAACTGTTTTCAGTTCTCAGAAACCTGCAATTGCGAAGGGCAGGCAGCTGGTGTGTTCAGCTGTCAGTCTCTGCAGCCACCCTTCACCCTTGGCAAGTGCTTTACTACCCTCTGAAAACGCAGCTGAAGGAAAAAAAGCAGGCAGCGCTCTTCAAATAGACTGAAAAAACACCACCTGAAGGCGAGGTCAGCTCTAACCCAGAGGAATTAAAACTCCTCTGGACAGGGTCTCAAATCTCCTGTGTTGCTGTGGGTGCCCTACTTCTTCCAATGCCTCTGGGGCTGTCCCGGGGCGACAGATTGAAGGGCTGTGATGGGGCTTGTCAGTGTGACCATCCCCATCCAGATTCACCTGGAAGACATGGAGGCACAGTTGCTTGAGCCCCAGGAGCTGGCTGTCTCCTTTTGCACAGGAACAACAGCTGTCCTCTGTCCCACCAGACCACCAGCCTGGCTCTGGTTTGTGTGGGTTGCACTAAGGCATGAGAAATCAAAGGGACAGTTCAGAAGGCTAAAAGTACTTTTTTTCCAGCCCAAACACTTTCTCACCAGGACACCAGTTTTGCTCAGGTGCAGACAAAGGAAAATGCTTTTTGTGTCTGCCACAGCAACAATGAGCTCAGGATTTTGTTTCTGGGCCTGACCACAGAAATCACAGAAATGCTCCTGGCTTCAAAGAGCTTCATATTAGATCCTCTAAGGCCAAATTATTAAAGTAGGATTACCTGTCCCCAGTGTGCTGCCTGGAGGAAAACAAGAATTACGCATACAAACACACATACATACATATTATTTTACTTGATGCTTTCTATTTCCCTTTTATATCAGAGATCCTCTAACAGAGCAATGGCTAGCAAAAAAGCCAAATTTTATTTCCTCTAAATAACTCCAGACTTCAAACATCTGCAGTCTCCCTTTTGGCTTGCAAGAGATATTTAAACTATTGCTAATAGCTGGTCTTCTGTTCTTACACTACAAACGAAGCAAGAAACTTGTTTAACATACAAGAGAGCCTAGCTAAGTATGCTGCAATGCTTGCATTACAGCACTTGGTTTAACACATAGAAAACCCATTTTATTGTGTTGTGAAATAGTTCAGTGCTTGTCCTAAGTGAACTGACAGGAAAGCTACACAAGTGAAAATACACCACAGTGGGATCCCGTGGAATTTACACTACACAGCTCTCAGCCCCAAACCTGGGGAACCTGCTGGCAAAATTAAACCAATTTGCAGATTAGCTTGGAAGCTTGGACTCAGTTTCACCAAAGGATTAGTCCCAAAGCACTCAATCCCTTTGCAGCAGATAAGACTAAGAGCAGGTGCGCTGCCTTTCCAAGGAAAACTCATTTCCATATGCAACCATGCCTGTGCTAAACGAACAGAGGATGTTACTGTTCCCGCTCCCGGCACGGTAACATCAGCCTGTGTCAGCACAGACGTATTGATGTGAGGTGGAGCTGCTTTTGGAAGAAGCAAGCGAAGTTCAGCAGGCGAGAGTGGGTGGGGAGGCCAATGTGTTGACATTTGCCTTAGGACTGGTGCTTGCAGAACAACAGTCTTCCATCCGCCGCTCCCCACTGAGCGCTGGCAACCTGCAAGACCTCCTGTGGGCTGCTAAGCTGTCCCAATTTTGCTGTTTAGGAGGCTTCAGAGGCTGGGTGGGACCCAGTCACAACCTCAGCCGGGGAACACCTGCTGCTTTACCCAGGTTGGGTGGGACCACTTGCTTAGGAGATCATTCTGCTGTGCCTCCAACAGCTTGCCCACAAACCTTCCCCTTCTTCCTCCCGCCCCTCCCACAGAAACAAAATGAAAGTACATCACCACAGGCAGAAGCTGAGAAAAACTCAGCAATTGAAGAGTAAGTTGTCAGGAGACTTTGCTCAGTTCGCCCTGAGGTAGCCTGAAAAATGTGCAAGGCTCCCTGACATGTGACACCAACCATCAACCCCACTGAAGCCAGAGAAACTTCACCCAAAACTGTAAACCATCTCACAAGCATTCGTAGCCCTGCCGTTTGTCCAAGCAAACTGAAATGGTCAGCAGAAATATGCCACAGATGTAGTAGAAATTGGAAGAAGATGCACAAATCAAACAGCTCCCCTCCCAGAAAAATGGATGAAGAGGTCAATAGTTGGCCACTGCATCAATGGCTGCAGCAAAGCTTGGGTCAGGACTCACACCTCTATGCGGTCACACCATTCCAACAAATGGGTATTGTCTGGCTTGAGCAGCACTCAGGAAAATGCCATTTTAAGGCAGCTTTATCGCATGCCTTTGAGCTGTGCTGTCAGATTCCCTTCACGTTGTCTCTGCACTTGCCTATCATCCAGATAATGCTTGGCTCTGGAAACGCAGGTCTCACTCCAGGCATTCCTCTGACAGCTGTACTGTCTTCATGGAAAATGCTCACTTTGAATGGGTGTAAATGAGGCTCTACAGGCACAGTGACACCGGAGGTAGCTGGTATGCAGACTGGTACATGTTCCTCATGCAGTTTTAGGTGGTCATCTTGAAACGGATGCATTATGAGAAAGGGTCACTCCCATCTCTTTAAAGTTGACTTGCATGGGGACACTCCAAAATCATGGGAAATGAAAACCATCATTCAGTTCTTCTCACACCCCTCAGCAACAAGAGGAGAAAAGTAAGCAGAAGCCACAGGGGAAAATGCTTCAGTATGCCTAAGTGACCTGAGACCCAGGAGCACTTCAGAACGTCACTAGGATGTCAGTGTCATCAGGAGTCAGGACTGCCCCACACCATCCCTTGCTCCTCAATGTTCATTAGCTTATGTGATGCAGGAGCCAGGCCCCTTTGGCTGATTCAAAGGAGGCCGGAGACTCCACATCATTTCAAAAGGTGATTCGGCTCCAAAGCATTTGGAGTGCTGACAGATAAGATTCTGCAAAAGACCTAAACTAGGACTGCTCACGACGGCTTTGGTACTCTGTGACTGATACCTCTACCATCCCAAGGAACTGAGAACAACTATGTTACAGGCTCAAGCATCCTCCCTAATCATCCACACCAGCAAAGTGTTAGCACACCCCATAGCCTGGCTTCAGCCTGTGCCCTCTCCCAGACAATACCCACGCTGCAGTAAGTGCCATGCATGCTCCTGAGAGCCTAAAGGGGAAAACCACCTTGTTTTCACAGGTAAGAGAGTTCAGCAGCATGGACACAGTCGATGTTGGACCATTCAGCCTATGGGTGACAGGATGGATCCTGGCATGCCTCACTTACTAGACAAGAGAGAGCCTGTGGTGTGGCTCAGTCCTACCATGGATCTGGCTGGTGCTTACCTGCCGTGCATTTAAACCGGCCTTGTAAACCAATCTTGCAGATTCTGAGTGACACTTTCCCCTTGGGATGGGGGAGGAGGGGAAGAAAACATCCAAAATGAGGCAAGGACAAGACAGGGAGCATCCTTCCTGCACACAGCTCCTCCAGTAAGAGGGCTAATACATTGCTGAAGACATCCTCCCCGGAGTCCCACACAGTAGTGCAGCTCGCATGCCTTGGGGAAGGTAGCAGAGAGAGATGCAGATGGCAGCAAGCAATCAAGGAAAATTGTTTAACCCTAGAGTAATTTCAATCTGTAGCTGGCTGGCTACCTTACCAGAGCCTGACCCAATGTTCTCAGCCCTGCAAGTGTATTGCTTAATGGTAAGGAGCTGGTGAGACTCTTATGCCTTTTCATTATAATATCTTAACAGAAATAATAATAATAAAAATAATAATAATAATAATAATAATCCTAGAGTAATTTCAATCTGTAGCTGGCTGGCTACCTTACCAGAGCCTGACCCAATGTTCTCAGCCCTGCAAGTGTATTGCTTAATGGTAAGGAGCTGGTGAGACTCTTATGCCTTTTCATTATAATATCTTAACAGAAATAATAATAATAATAATAATAATAATAATAATAATAATAATAATAATAATAATAATAATAATAATAATAATAATAATAATAATAATAATAATAATAATAATAATAATAATGTGGCATTGATTTTTCTTTTCCAGCTGAAATTCCTGAGTGGCTGGTCATTAGGTTTAAATCAATAGCACCTTGATTGCCACTGCATTTTGATGCATAGCTGAAACAAGGTCAATTGCTGTCTAGGGAAACTGAGAAACAGTTGAGGTACCCAGGGATTCTTCATCAATAAAAAGGCAAGATTAAGAGCATTGTCAGCCACAAATGAAATTTCATGTCCTCATGGATAAAAGAGAACCTCCCCTGGGCTTTCCTCTTCCCAACCACTGGCTGAAGGGAGTTAAATCAGATTTTCAAGGCCTTTGTAACCTGCTGCTACCTCAGTGTTAGTGGGAGAATTAGACTCAAAGGCTGGACTTTGTTTTACCTACTGCAGATACCCGAGGATGTTTCTTGGGAGAAATTAATTGCAGTTATGCAAGGTGCACAGGACCGGTGGGCTCAGTCTCCCTTTGGAGTAACAATACCCCTGTAAAATACAGCGAAGACCCTCTCAGCTTAATACTAAC